TAATGGAACCTCCTCGTGACATAATTCTTATGATATCGCGTGGGATTCATAAATATTCGAGGATGCGAAAAATTGCACAACGCTCGGTATGAAAGAGAAACTTTGTAGAATAATGATGGTGTCAATTTCTGCTGAGTTGAAATTTTGATGCTACTTTGACGCTTTTAAAGATACTTTGCACCTACTTAGGTGACCTTTGAACTAATAAAAATCTACTGTATTTTACTGACGCTACTGCGACTTATTAACTTCTTGGACTTTTAATTCGACAGATATCATTTTAATGCTACTTTGAACAATTTATTTTGATGCCAAAACAACGAAAACGGGAATTGAAGACACTATCTGTGTTAAAGTAGAAATAAATTACATTATTAATATTGAAATTCAATTTATTTTGCTATTTTAGCTGCTACACGGAGAAAAAAATTTCTTTGGATTTAATGACATTTTCTTAATTAAAACAAATTTGTACAAACCAAATAATATATGATATTAAATTATGTTATTTATAATAAACAAATTCAAGTCAGGCAAACATGTACATTAAATCCAAAAAACTTTTCCTGCGTGTGCCATGTTGTAGAATTGAAGGTTTGTTAAATTTCGATTCAAGTTCTCTGATACTAGTTTTTCTCGTTCAAATGTATCTTCATCTTAAAAACATCGCGTGCAGACGCGAGAGCGGAGAGATTAATAGCCACCGATTAATTACGAGCAGCACACAATCCCGGTGGTGCTAAATCACACGACGACGTGAGATCTCGATATGAGAAGCATCTTGGAGTCGAGTCGACACAAGATTTTCGTCAATTACTCGCGAAGGTTCAGAGACTCGTAACGACCCCCGAACACATAAACGTTGATTGGCCGGGCAGTCGTTCCGCTCACGACTCGGGCTTACAATGGATACTGTCGCCGGTACAGCGGGATCAAGCAGTCGGTGATTATGACCTTGAGTAATTCGCGTAAGAGGGTAGACAAAGGTCAGACAAATTAAATCTCCGAAATCACGACTAATGCAGAACGGCGCGCGCGCGCTATCTTCGCCATCGGCCCGAGAACGCTTTTACGTCGGGTTATCGATCTGCCGGATGAACGATGATTGTGAAGTATTACGACTTCCGGAGAGCGCGATTATTTACGTGTATCATTCGTTTATTATATTTAGATTTACCTACGTGCACGTGTTTATTGGAACAAACCTCACTAGTCCATAATGATTTCTGCGTAAACACGTCTGACGGTGTCACGTGGTGCGGGAGCATGTGCGTCACGAACAAATTTGTTTACGAACGCATGATGATACACAGATGACACGCTCTCGTGCCGCGTCAAATCGTGACGACTATGCAGCTTCCTCCTCGAATTAAAATCATGATTTAAACTCGGCGAACGCGCGGACAAGCGAATTTGTGTTGACACATTATACCGTAAATATTTCATTAATTGGATAGCGCGCGGCGCGTACTACGATCGCGATAAACGTACTACCGTCGTACGTCTGCGTGGCGCGCAATATCCTTCCGCCGGTGTGAACGGGATTTGGTCGGAGCGTAAATTTTCACGATCGTATATTTCCCGTTCCAGACGAGACGACTTTAAAAACTAACGTGTTGAATTTCTCTCTGATCTCCCGCTCCTCGCACAGGCGACAGCTTCGGGTATATTTGAGCGAGCGAATATCGCTGCCGAGAATAAATATTTTCCCATCGTTCCAGATGTGAAATCATAAATTTACCATATATATATTATATATTTTTCTTCTATTATATTTATATGTATTGCGACGAAATTTACAAAAGACAGATTGTTTGCGCAGCTTCATGGATATTTCGAGGCGGAAATGGAAACCTGATTGGAAACCTGAGAAGAGAACCGACTGGTGTGTATGATGAGGGCTTACTTGTAAAAATGTCACTAAAGAAACATGCTGCGGAGTTGCGGAACTCGTTCCCCATTCGCTTCATGTTTCTTCGTCCGCAAAAATATCGTAAAAATTCCGCAAGTGTATATCGTCCGGTCGAAGGATGCTCAAATATTTAACGTCATGGTCGTGCATTGTTTGCGCTCGAAGGATACCGTAATCTCTGACCGTGGGAGCTCGCTGCGGCCCCGACTAAGGGAAAGACGCAAACTATCGCACTTAAAGAAGAAGAATGTATTCCGGCGCAGTCTACGTAACTGCTCAGACATTTTGCGAAGGAGCGGTGCTGCATATATACACCCCGCTGGCCGCTTATTTCCGATCGCAGTGCAGCAGCGTGTAAATAAACGGCCGGCGAGCCGTTCATAATGGATGAACGCAACGCGGGTGGGCGGTGGATCCGATTATTTTTCATCCCGAAATTATCACTCTCCCACGCACCGAGTGCACGTAGACAAGAACCGCGTGATACCGATTGCGAGATGACAATGAGCCATCGCGAAAGCTGTCACGTGTGCGGCCTATTCAACCCAACTTCCTCAATTCGAGTTGAAATTTTGGTGCTATTGTGACGCTCTCAAGGATAACTTGTGTCTATTTTCGGTGGAGAGGCAGAAAGATGGCCTATAAACGAATAAAAACCTACTTTGATGATACTGACATTTATTAATTTCCTTCGTGGACTTTTAATATGTAGTATGTTTGAAAATACAGAAAATTCTTTCCTTGGACATTCTTTCGTATCATCAAAAATAAGCGAAATATTTAAAATGCTCGGTTTATACCATCCTGTATAAGCAAGAATATATAATCTTATATAAAAAGAAAACTTGTTTATTTTTTATTTCTTTATGTTATTATTTATACAAGGAAATTCTATAACTTGTTTATACGGGAAAATTAAATATAATTCCACTAAAAATATCATATTCTTGTTATTCAAGAATAATTTTCATGTATTGAAAGGAAAAAGTATTGGATAGAAAGAACGATACTTTTTCCTCTCAATTCATAAAAAATTATTCTTTATTAGCAAGAATGTGATATTTTTAGTGGAACTATGTAGAATTTCTTTACCTAAACAAGTTTTATCTTTATATAAAATTATATATTCTTGCTTATATATATATATAAGAATATGAATCTTGAATTCTAATACTAATGTTTTTTGTGTACAGATTCAATTTTAATGCTATCTTGTTTTGACGCTAAAACCTTCGCTGACAGCGTAAACAAAAATTCAAGATATCATCAAGGTCAAAGTAGAAGTAAATTATATTATTATTGAAACTGAATTGAAATTGTGTGTATGTATGTATGTGTGTGTGGGTGTGTGAATCTATTTTGCTACCTTACCTCCTAATGTGTTATAGAATTAAAAGTTTAACGTAAGGGCCAAAATTTCAATTTGAGAACCGCAGTCGCATCGATTCGGCTGTCGGTCCAACATTATTTCGTATACCGCGGAAACGACACTTTGACAGCGTTACTGAATTTTTCAATATTATTATTTCACGCGACGAGAATCGCGGAATAAAACAAAGCGGAAGAGTGATTCAGCGTGATATTTTCAGAGGACGCAGAGATAATCGTTGCTCGTGAAATGATTTATAGTTTACATAGTTACATAGTTTACATGGTTACATAGTTTACACGCTTTGCTCTCAAGACTTCGCTAACTGACAATGATGTTTGTTCATCTGATGGGCAAGTACTTGCGAAATGTAAAGAGGAGCCGTCCTCGATCTCAACGTCAATAATATCGGTATCGGAAACGAGAACGTAGAACTTGGGACGAGATACACCTGTCTCCCGTTCCGTCTTTGTTGCGAAGATCCGCGCATATCCGTGCTTAGTTAAAAAAAAAAAAAGGAATTACTCAGGATGAAGTTTACAAAACGACATGGGAATTTGGTCCACAATAATTTTATTGTGTTATTACGATCGCCAGCGTGGGTGCTTTTTTTTATGCCCTTTATTATTCTCCAAAGCTACAGCGATCCCACTTTCGAGGAATACTGCAGTCGTGCTAATCGCTTTATGGTATTTTCGCCATACAATTAGTTGTTAACAAAGTAAATCGGACCAATATTTTTTCATCAACGCAACGAGACGCTCGTTAAAAGCGAAAATTGCACAGAAAATAACGAATATTCTGTCGTGCTATTTTTCCCGCCGTTAGAAATCGAATGAGTTTATTGAAACTATGTCGACAAATTGACAGAGCGATCGCGTGAGTAACGAGAGAGAGAGAGAGAGAAAGAGAGAGAACGAAAACGTGGGTGCGCGGTATTCAGAGATCACGCTTTGCTCTCAAGACTTCGCTAACTGACAATGATGTTTGTTCATCTGATGGGCAAGTACTTGCGAAATGTAAAGAGGAGCCGTCCTCGATCTCAACGTCAATAATATCGGTATCGGAAACGAGAACGTAGAACTTGGGACGAGATACACCTGTCTCCCGTTCCGTCTTTGTTGCGAAGATCCGCGCATATCTTCCTCCCGCAAGTCGTCCGAGCCACAGAGAGCGGGACGCTGCGGCGCGGAACGACGCTTAATCCCATCGAGGAACGAAACAATTACAGTCGATAGGTAATAAAAAAGTGGTCGGATAACATTTCGTGACATTCGACACGCGTATTTATAAAAAAAAAAAAAGACGAGAGAGACGGGCGAACGAAGTTTATTTTCCCCGAGCGTAAACCGACCATCTCGTGGGGAAAACTTCATCGTTGATTTATTGGTCACCGCGTTAACCCTCGGCCGCGAGAGCGCAATATTTGCACAAGGAAATTATAAAACGGAAATCGATATGAATACATGCGTGTTGCAAAATAAACCGTTTTACGTCTGTTACGCGATATTATCGCGACAAAATCGAGTTTATCAAGGGGCAATCCAATAATCGTGATAGCCTCGTGTTCTTGTCGATACTTTTGAAACATTTATATGCTTTCAATGCTTCGGAAAAAAAAATCGGAGGCGGTGTAATTACAGCGCGCGAGGCTTTCGGACGTACTCGAAAATACGTATGGAACGACTGAATTAATTTTCCCTCTCCTTCCTTTTTCAGCGTGACCAATTACTTCGTGGTGAATCTGTCCGTCGCCGACCTGCTAGTCACCACAATATGCATGCCGGTGGCCGTCAGCCAAGCAAAGTCGATGTTGTGGAGTCACGGTGAACTCATGTGTAAACTCTCTTCTTATCTGCAGGGTAAGTATTTTCATCCACGCGGCTAGAAAACCCCCCGAAATCGATCATACCCTCTCATCCGTGACGGTGCGCGACCACGCGCTCCGAATCTCTCATTGTATCGTCCATGCACGAGCATTACCGAGTCGCGTTTTGTCCCCTTTCATCGTTTCATTTCTGTATATAAAAAAAAAAGAGGTAGGAGGGGGGAGGGGGATTGCAACGACATTGTCCATTTTTTTCATCGCTCGTCGCGCAGTTACGCAGTCGTTATCACTGTCTGCGGCAACGTCACACTTTCGTATTTTGCAATATTTTTTCTATATGCGAATTTGTAAATAACAAACAAAAGCATGTACGGTGCGTAGCGCCGCGTAAACGGCACACAGAGAAAAAGGGAAAAACAGAGGTAGGAAACATCTGCTCGATGAAAAGCTCTCGCACCGCCGATGAATTGTATCGTTTATAACTTCGATCGACGGCGCGATTACCGCGTCGAATGTTTGTCAGGCAAGTTCCCAGGGATCTACGTAAGCGACTCGATTATGCATCGTTCTACGGCGGTAATGGGTTCCTGTTTTGCAGAATAATCGGTTTTAATACCGCGTTCGCTAACGCTCACTCGCTCGCGCGCACGCGCGTCCGGTGGGGAAAACGCTGCTGTTGTTTTCATCTAAAAGATATCCCATCCTCATCTCTCGCTCTTGTGTGTTCCGGCGAGGCGTACAAACAAGTTATGCGTGTTTGCATTTCTTCGAAGCATTCGCCGGTATTTCCTTTCGAAACTCGGAACATTCGCTTGCTCGACACCGACCGCATTTTCCTTTAATTCAAACGCAGCTATTCAGACAATTTCGTGAAGCATAACGATATGCACGTTATAGTGATATAGAAAAGCTCGCGAAATGAATTCTCTGGGGGCTCCGTTGCGTCCTTATTCACCAACGTTCTATTCTATTCTTTTCTCTTTCTATCCCGGACGGAAGCGTACACGCGATTACACGTGTATCACATTTATTATTTTAAATGTATATCCCGGCACGCGACACATGCATGACGTTTACATCGTCATTACTACTTCGACCGCGAAAGCTATCATTTTCATCGCGTGCCCGTGCCGGGGACGGAAAAGGGAAAAAATAGCAGACGAAGAGATAATCGTCAGAGAAAGCACTCTGCTATAAAAGCAACTCTCGCATTATTAATGCGCGATAACTGAAATTATGGAAATTGTAATGCACCGCGGCATGCATTATGCATGATACGATGGAAGAATGTTGGCCGCGTAAAACGGTGATCACATAAATTTTATATTACTGTGTTTCTAACTGCAAAACACTGTTCGAAATGTTTTCATCGAGCGTTAGAACTTTAAAGGAAATTAAAGTCCTTTCATGCTAATCGTCTGTTTCGGGCGTTTGTTGTCGGTACATACAGAGTCCGATCGTTTTCTCGAAATTCCTGCCGTGCAAGTACACTGCAAATCGAAGTGTGTTATTTTTACATACATAAACGTTTCAAAATGACATATTTAGCTGACATTCTTTTTACATATCTCTTGCTGTTTTAGATTATATCATTTAAACCGCTTAATCGTATGCGTTAAATTATAAGTTAACACGTACAATCGTGTTAAACGGCGTGATTTAAAACGGCAAGAAATGTATAAGAAAAGCCTCAGTTAAAATAACTCACTTGGATTTGCAGTGTAGAGCGGGTGAAAATGAACAGAGAACCCAGAGAAATAGAGGTAGCATGTGTTAGTTTTACATACGTTAGTTTTGAATACGTTCTTTAAACGTATGTAACGTTTTATAATCGTATTACGTACGTATTACGTTTGAAGAACATATATAAAATTAACTGTGCTACTTGGGAAGTCATGTACCATTTGTGATGCAAATTTGCAATGCAAAATTCGCAGTACACATCTTCAGAAGTAAGCCATTTTTCTTTATAAAGGATTTGGCTTATCGCTTCTCGTTCGCTCATTCGCTCGTACAAATTAATTCCTCACTAATTATTGCGAATTTTGCAAAATGTTACATGATTTTTCTGTTCAATTTCACCCGTTCTACTTACGCACTACAGATTCCAAGGAAATTCCAAGAAAAACCAGACACCCTGTATATATGGATAAAAAGAATACACAAGACCGATAACATAAAATGTCCCTGATTTCGGGTCATCGGTTTCGTCCGCTTAATCGCGTGTTCACAAAATACAGCCGCAGAAAGAAACGGAAACAATGGATACGTTATCCTGTTAAGCACTGGCTTTTATTCAGCGCGAACTCGTTTTTGTGTATATGTCAATTCTGCAGAGAGAGAGAGAGAGAGAGAGGGGGGGGGAGAGAAGAACAGAGAGAAATTTTTAAATGGTGAAGCTTGATCGATCCGCGCGTCCCGTTGAGACACATCTGTGCGACACGCGCATTTCTCTTTTTCCTTAATAATTTCCATTTTTCGTCGAGGGGACCGCACGAATATCGCACGCACCGGTGTGTTGATAAAATTTCCTTATGAAAGGCAGTACCAATTACAAGCGGTAAATTCTCAACAGCACTATGAAATGATTCAATACATGTGAATGCAACTTCGGACACAACCAAATCAGTTTCGTTATAACGAGACTCTTTGAAAGCGTTAAAATCGAAATACGCTGACATTAGCTGACGCTGAGCATGATCAAAAGCACACAGAATTTTTAATAATTCGTATATAAAAACTGCTTCATTACTTCACCGTTCATTGCGTGACGCGAAATCATGCGAAATTTGTGTTTGCAATTTTTAATAAGCAAACACGTTAAAACGTAAAATATATACGACGAAGTAANAGTAAAAGCTCTCCCCCCCCCCCCTCCCCCTTCTACTCATTCTCTTTTACTGTCACGGCAGCTCTAGCTGTAATTTTATAAATACCCCCGCGAGATGGATAGATGGATTATGGAGTTACTCGTAATACATAATGAAGCTGAATCGCAAAAAAAAGAGTAATTAAGACAAATGCCAGGCTTTAAAGTTTTAACGCGGATTAAGAGCTTTCGTTGCTCAGCGGAAAATAATCGTTCCGCGTGCGCATTCAGCCATGTGATTTTACATTGAATTTAATTGAATCTGATTAAACAGAATGTAGTAGTGTTTGTGCGTTTTCCGGTCATAATTCGCGTCGACTGTGGCATTTTGAGGCTTAATCAAATCCGTAAAATTCGAGAATCAAATCATTGAGCAATCGTAAATGTAACCATTCGAAACAGCGCGACGAAGAACCTGGGTAGATAAACGGCACTCGAAATTTACTTTCTAAATTTCTTCTAATTTTCTCTGAAACCTCCACTCTGAATCGTCCGGTAAATATTTACACTTAAAATTTTGCGTAGTGAATTACGTTATTCTTTATCATCACAGAAACAAATTCACTTTAACTCATTAAAACATTCAGTCATATAGATTAAGCATATATCTTAAGTTTAAATGAAACATTCTTTTTTGTGATCCCGAGTGGTGACATTTTTACTATCACTTCAAGCAAACGTTCACTTATTTTCACTCATCAGTAAGGTTTCGCTCCAAGAAATTTAGAGAGCACGTTTAGCCGAAAGTAAACGCGACAGCTAGAATTTGTAGGTAGAAAGAAGATAGCTAGGATCCTAGATAAATAATCAATTTGAGACTAATCGCGGCTTATTTATTTACGACGTTTGAGCTTAAGTTAAACATTCAATCCTGATGTAAATGATAACAGTTTCACTGTCGCTACGAGTTTTTATTCATCTTGTGCGCGTGTGAGTGAGATATTACACTAAAGAATTGAAAGAATGTATCTCGACCGGATTACCATCGCCGGATGTTTACAGGTGTCGCCGTTGCCGCCTCGGTGTTCACCATCACGGCGATGAGCATCGACAGGTACCTCGCGATAAGGAGTCCCATGGCGTTCCGTCGTGTATTCAATCGCAAGAGCACCGTGCTCGTTATCGTCGCTCTCTGGCTAGTGGCTCTGGGTATCTTTGTGCCCGTCCTCAAAGGGGTAAGTCAATCTTGATTTCGAGCCGACATTGGCATTGAACCGTGCGTTAATTGATGAATGTATCGCCACAAAAGGCGAATATTGAGTAGCCGTGCCCGCGTATACGGTGGGATCCTTCGCTCGAAGGCGCGTAGAAATTAAAGCATTGAGGGAAGTTTAATCGTTAAAAATTAAATCGTTATATGACGATTCGCTCGACACACTGAATTTCAGATCTCGCTGTCTGCTTGCGACTAAAATAACGAAACAATTAAAATAATAAAATATGAAATATAGCAACGAAAGGTATCGCACGAGAGACAAATCTGGCTAGACGTTAGAGTTCTGCGAATATAATCCGTTCTTCGATTTGTATTGTCCGGATGTATAACGCACAAATAATTCAACTGTATCCGTTTAAGTAATTCGCCCCGTAATTTAAAAGAATTTTAGCATTTTTTAAACGATTAAATTACTCGTGCGTCATACATCCAACTCGCTCGCATCCCCTTTTCACTTATACCTCAACCTACTCGACGTTCGTTGGAACAACAATCGGACCCACTCAATTCTATTTGTAACTTTAATTCTAAGAATTACACCATACACCGATAGTCCGATCTAACATTTGAAATTGTCTGAAATTTCTCATCTGCTTTAAGCGAGATTTCACTGCAGGAAATTCAGGAAGTGAGAGATCGGACTATAAATACCGTCGTGCGTTTCTCAATAGCTCGACTCGACTCGAAAAAATAATCTGACATTTACCCCGCTCAATATCCAAGAAGTGTTCATAAATAGTTCCTAACAAACGGACGAGACAGAGCGGGTTTCATTTGCGGTATTCTCGTTTCGTGCGTAACTCCGCTGATCGTGTGCGAATCAACGACAACTAATCAAGCATCATTACGTGTCCCCGTCGTAACAATGGATTTGGGGAAACCTATACGAAAAGGCATCGCCGCGGTCGCTAACGCGAATCCACGTCTTCGCATAAATGGCACGCGCGAATCAAGATGCATGTCTGTACCTATGATAGGAGTGGCACGAAATCATAAACGTGATCCTGCGCATTGCGTAACACATTGCGTTATCGCCCCATTGGGACGTATTTATCCTGCTATATGTAAATCCCCGACTGGCCAGAGGACGTATTCGTCCGTGAGAGCTTTGCGCATTTGTAGCTGAACGGGTCGACGCTTTATGGCGAAACGATGCCGTGATAAACGTTCGCGCAAATATACGACGAACTTCCCGAACGGAAAAGAAGCCTTCCGTTCCGTCAGCGCACGCATGAAATAGAAATTCGAGCGACGTTGGACGAGATCCGTAAACTTGGAAAGATCAGGACGGCGTTTATCCGCCGGTGGCGCGGGAGATTACGCGGGATATCCGAGAACCGAGAGAGATAAATAGAATTCTTCAAACAGTAGTCTAGCAATCGCTGATTTTTTCATATAAAATGACGTCCAATTTGTCATCAGAATGTCTTTGTTTATAAAGAACGTCTCCAAATCAGGCACATTTTTCTGAAGACATATCTGTCGTTTACCTTATATATAGTACTACTTATACCAAATTTTCCGGATTATATATAATTATACCTAATTATATATAGAAAAGTTTCTTCCGGGTTATTATTATTTATCTTCTATCTTAATAATATCTAGTTACAAATACAGTTCCTTTATCTGATACTTATGAGTTCCGCCTATTTTTTATGGAAAGAAACGAAGCTAGACCAATAAAAAAAAAGAAATGATCGAGATGACCAAAATACATATTTCAGCTGCCTTATAGATAGAGAGGTATCGAAAAAGAGGAATGCGGGGAGGGGGCGAACAACCGTGAGAGAATCGCGTCCGGTTACGCAAATAACGGATTAGTAAGTATTCCGAAGCTCGGCGTGCTTTGCAAATATAGCTTAGATTAAACTAATTCCAACGAGCGTGGAAATGCATACAGTGCAGAATTGGAAACGTCGATGTGCGCGCACACGGGATCGACGGAGTCGTGCGGAGCAAGTCGAAGTTTCTGCGTGACCCTCCGGCCGCGATTCGCATTAATACTACCCTTTCGTACAAAGCTGCGTCCGCTCGTGCTCGCGTTTCCGTTTTTCCGTAACAATTGCGCCCCGCCGGTATGCCCGTAGCTCATTGTACACGCACCGGTCGTTTCAGTTGACTGACGATCGTTTGAATATAAAACATGCGCATAACGTCACTGTGAATGTAAACAGGCTAAACTGTTCGCTCTTTTTTTCTCTCTCTCTGCCTTCCTCTCTCTATCTATCTACTATCTATCCATCTATCTATCTCTCTCGATCATTCGCTCGCTCTCTCATTCTATCGTAAACTTTAAAATCGATTGCCCTTCTCACGGAAGGAGTGCTCTATGTTGCGTCGACATGCAGATTCGGATTAGAGAGGGAAAAATATCGTGGAAAATCTCGAAAGTTTTCCTGCACGCGTTTCTCGTCTCGTTTATATTCGAAAGTGCTCGAAATAGCGAGCCGTTCTCAAAGCTGTTTCGCATGTTTCTTTTTTCGTTGTTTTCTTTTCCTCTTTTGTACAAATCAGTCTATTTTCGGTTTAGCGATAACTCGAAATTAATTTGCCGCCGCCCGTAGGGGGTCTTCGATACCCGCCGTCGATCTCAGTTGAGATTTAAAGCCATCTCGTGCGATTGGGAATATTTGAGAGGCAAGAAAAAGAAAAAATCGCGATTGAAATTCCCGATTATGACGAATGCTGTACATGCTGAGCAGGAGGCGCGCGTAGGCGGATATGCGGTGACGCGATATTATCTGAGTGGGTCGATTGTTAAACAGTGATGTGCCCAAAAGCTGCTAAGTGCTATCTATTTGGAGACTATAAAAGCTCGTAGGGTTATCTCTTTACTAAAAAGGGTGTGATAAGTACTCCTTCCCGGCCGCTCTCTCATTCTCCTACACACTCTCTCTCCCTCTCTATTCGTTTGTTTGGGGATTTGCGTTAGATGGGGCGCTTAATTGGTTGACGTTACACGCGTTGAATGAAATAAATAATCCAATGAATTTATGAAAGCATGATACAGCAATATTTAGGCAAACAAGAAAATTAATGCGATTAATAAAAAAGATATCGTTAATTCCTCGATTACTACGCTAGCGGTAAAATATAACAATATTCTGAAGATAAAAAACGGCGACCTCGAATCAACTTTGGCAGTCAACGTGTCGAGCTAAGTAGATGATAAATTGATTGCCACGTAGGCTTGCCAATAACCTCGCCCCGAACAACATGCACGTGACTAATTTAACTAATGGGTTTGCGGATGCTCGATCGGCCACGATCCATTTCAATCTTCTCGAATTTGACACCAGTTTTGGGTCGTTTTATCGGTGTGCGACGCGATAGATTCGGGATTGGTAACTACGCTCATGATTCTTTAATCATTATCAGTAACAGTGGCTCTTTATTGTTATATTTCACTTTATTGTTATACCTTACCGTTGGCGCTTTAATGTTCTACACCATATTCAAAAACCATCAAAGTCGGTGAGGAATACTCCCGGTTCACTTGTCAATCACCCTTCCTTCCCCACGCCAGTACACATCAACTAACAGTAACATTATATCAATGTTATAATTTGTCACTCAATGTAAATGCTATACAACATATATTGTACATAACGATCACATTGGTTGAATAAAAGTTATTATAATATTGATGTAATATTATTGCCGATTGGTGTTTACTGAACCATCGTCGACGTGTCAATGCCAGAGTGCGGGTGAACAATCTCTCTCGAAAAGGAACATCAGTCGCGAGCAAAAACCGTTCGAAATTTCACGAAGTCCCCCCCCCCCTCCTCCCCCCACTCCTCTCCCCGTTCGATTCACGTTGTATTCACGATCGCTGTATCTCGCGAAAAATTCGCTTTACAAAGGGAAATCGAATGCGGAGTTACAAAGGGCCACGCCGTTCGCTCGCTCCCTCCCTCTTTCTATCTCGCTCAAATCGTGGACCAGAGTATTACGAATTTATTTTGTTGCCTCTCTCGCCGCAGATGAACCTTCATAATCCGAGCACGGAACTGGACACCATCACTTTCCAAGGCGGCTGGACAATAAGAAGGAATTTTTCCCACACCTCGCGCACTTCGCACATGCCGCCGGTCTTCTACTTCTGCTCGGAGGACTTCGAGGACTTAGGCATCCAGCATCCGCATCTCGTCGGCACCGTGTATTTCGTCCTTGTTTACGCCGTACCGGGTAAGTCGGCATGATGAATGACGGGGTCGCGATTGACGTGTGATCTTTGCGCGGCTCTGTGAGAAAAACAGGTCACGTCGCTTTGGACAAATTTCAGGCACAAGGGGAGCATCGAGATGACGAGTATTTATCGGTCACGAAGCCATATTCGGTCAACACGTGATCGTTTTATCACGTATCGACGTATTGTCGTATCGTTTTATCGTAGTTTGTCGTCTCGCTTGTTCGCTCGTGAACTCATTGAAGACTCGAATTCGACACGTGTCGCCGGCACGAGGCACTTTCCGGATTTTATCGAGATTCCTTCATGATACGACTGCTTTTAATTTAGCGAGCGGGAGGATCTCGGGAAAATTTAAACGCCCCTTGTGGCCCCTTTTGTTTTTTTCTACTTGCTTTTGCTTGTAGCTTGTCTCTCGAAGGAATTTTTTAATATCTCTAACCTTCTCCCAGGGAGAATTTCGCTTGTCACTTTTCGCAAAGCCGACTACTACCTAATTCACTTGCTCCAGCCGTGCCTGGAAAAACGTATGCGATCCCGAGGTCGCTGGGCACATCGAGAATTCGTCGCTGATTGATTCAGAGACGGTGACAGGGTTGCGCGTGACGCGGCCGTTAAATATCTTCGGCAGCCTCGGTGGCCGCACGACTGTGGCTATGCCTTTTTGTTCCTCGCGTTTTCTCTGCTGCATCTTTTTTCCCTCTTTTTCGTTTCTCAAGGTAGTTGGCCTGTCAAAATATTTTTTTAGGAATTCTTTAAAATTTTAGTTATACATTGATGGAAACACTAACAACACGTCTATATTATCTAAACGACTAACCATTCGAAAGCCGAGATGTTTGCAACTAAAAATGACCCTTTTTATACGTGTACTTTGAGATTAATATCCTACTCTAACTTCTAATTTTTTTACTTTCTTCTAAACCGCATTTAGGATTTTAATGAAACACTACTGTAGTAGTTATCAGGGTTAATACAGTGATATTAAGCACTAACATAGAGATATTATATAAACATTTCAGAATAAATGATCATTTTTGAAAATATAGCCATAGGAAATTTACAATCCATATCTGCGAAATATGTATTATATACATATTTACGTACCATTTTCTACACGGGAAAAAAGAAGTGAGTTCCTGCAATAGAATAGGGGCCGGATGAAAAGGAGCAATGTCTCTGTCATCATAACTGAGAACATTCGTGAGAACATTCAGCTGCGTTAAAAAAGTCGTCTCGGTTGAGACAACTGAAAACAATTGACCGAGTAAATACCTTCTACAGGAATTTTTCTGTTCCTACAGCTCGAATTTTCATCTGCCCCCCAGGCAACGGAAAATTCAGTTACACGGAATCATGTTTTGCACCTCTATTAGCCCGGCTGACGTATAAATAAAGCAATAATAAAAAAATATATATATAAATAATATCTCCACGTTTGTAATATTGTGCATGTATATATTTGTTTGAATTTCGCGCGCCAAATTAATATTTATCATTTAGATAGTCAACTGAACTGAACTAAACGGACTGACCATCTTAAGTTGCAACACCGTGTAATAATGTAATTCCAGGCGCGCGAATGCCCGTCGCCTTTCGCGGCGCGCAATATCTCCGTAAGAAATCGCCGTCTTGACAGTCGGACGAGGCACACGCGAACGCCGCCGGCTTAATGCGATGGCAAATTTCAGCCTTGACGGTTACACCGATGTGCTAATTGCACGTTTTACTTTCGCATGCCAACGCTCGGCCGGCCAATCGGCCATTTATCTTCGTTTACGTGTCGCTTTCCCGCTCTTTACACCTGTGTCTCTGTTTTCCTTTCTTTTCTCGGTTCCTTCTCGCCCGGCGATCTAGGGCTCATCGTGATACTGGCCTACTCGATGATGGGTCGCACCCTGTGTTCCAGAAAACCACCCTTCGACTGCGACAGCGTCGAGGGAAGTGCCAGCTCGCAGCAGGTTAGATCGAATTGCCACCATCATAACATGCGATGTCCATTAGCGGCGGTTTAAACTGTTAATAGTTTTGCACGCGGTGTTCTGCTTTATTCGGGAACAGAGACACAGGGAGAGAAAATTTATAACTGTCCTAAGGTTTGTTCTTTAAGGGCGAGTAGTTATTCTCTAAATTTCTCGGAATGCAATCTCATTCAAAACGTAAGCGAAAAGTGGTAATATTTACACTCAAAGCGATAGCGAAAATACCGCCATTCGGAATCGCAAGAGTGAATATTCCGCTCAAGCTTGCGGCAGATTCTGCTTCCGTGCGAACGAATGTTTCAATCGATTAGAGTGAATTTGTTCCCGTGACGCGGTGGAATATATCAGAGATTCGGCTCTTTAATTTCAAGTGAAAATATTCGCTCGCAACGATTCAGTGTGGTGAATTCCTTCTGTTCGAGCGAAAAATCATTCAGATCCAAGTGACTCGGCCATCACTCTGTTTTTCTACTGCACGGAAAAAAGTAATAAATAAAAAAATCTCAATAAATTCAAGTAAATAATTACTCCAATATTATATTCCTTAGCAAATTTTCACTTGGATCAAGTAATATTTATTTGATTGAAATATTTTCCAAGTTAATCCAAGCGTAAGATTCACTTGATCCAGGTAAAAATTTGCGAAGGAATATTGGAGTAATTATTTACTTGAATCTAACACTTTTTTTGTGTAGCAAATACATAGAATGATAAGCCGAATTAAAAAATAGCTTTACAACAGTCATTTAAAGAGACAAGGAAAAACATGGTAAAAATTAGAGACTATAGATCGATATACAGGGAGAGAGGAGAGAGAAGGAAGAGAGGGGGACATGAGTGAGAGAGAAAGAGAGAATATATGTGTGCGATGTGGCTTGATTCGTCGACGCATTATCGTCGATCGCGTACATTTGTAACTTTTTTTCCGCGCGCAATACGTCAATCGCACGTTGCGCTTGCAGCTGTCGTGGAATCGATGTTAACATCGCGCGGCAGAACAAAACGCGACGCGGCGGAGTTACGCGAAAATCGTTCGTGACGAAACAGTCTCGATCGCGAATACTCGTAAGAATGCGTCTTATGAGTCTAACTGAATCGTCCTGAATGATTTATGATAAAAATCCGCGCCGGTTTGCCAAAGTCTGGTCAATAATCGCCGAGTCCGGCGAGCCGATAATAGCAATTCGACGACGGAAATTTGGCATCTATCTGCGCACGGTGTTATTCTCTTTCTCTCTCTCTCTCTCTCTCTCTCTCTCGTTTGCATCCCGCCTTCCAACAGACGCATCTCGTTTATTCCTCCTACGTCGCGACGCGACTATAACTGCGACGGCGAAAATACCGCTGGAAACATCGAAACGGACCTATGTTAGATTTCCCGTTGAAAATCGAGTTTCACTTGCAATTTTGTCGTTATCAACATTCCCCAAGCGGTGAGCACATTTTCTGCAGTCGATTAAAATTAGAAGGGCTGTAATCACGCCTGATTCCTTGCTCCGTTTTGCCTCGCCACTTTGACCTCCTTAATGAGACAGCGTAACGCAAGAATGATAAAAGCAATTTGTAATTTGGCTTATGGACCACAATTCATCCTGCCACGTCGGATTATACGCCAACAACTCCGCGTCCTAGACGATGAGAGACGGGTGAGAAGATGAGAGGAGAGAGAAAGAAAGAGAGAGAGAGAGAGAAGGGATGAGGAGGAATTCACCCTTTGCACTTTTATACGCGCCATCGGTTTCAATTCCTTCGCGTCGCTTCGCAGCCAATGGCACAACTTCGCGATAAATTAGTTACAAATAAACTGCAGCAGGAGAGACACCGCGAACTTCGCGAAATTGTGCCGTACGAACGCCCCGTACGAATGATGCCGTCCGTGCAATTTCCGGCGAGATGCGCACCTCGAAGAATAGACGAATGTATATTCAAATACTCTCATGGGCTGGCGCCCCGTTCTCTTGTAAATAACATCCAACAACGTAATTTCGAAGCACGAAACGACCTTTGCCTCGCGCGAAATTGTCGCGATCCGATAATAGGCGCACGTACGTCCGAGAGAGAGAGAGAGAGAGATGATGATAAATATTTATTAGCTCCATAGTAGCTTTTGCATAACACCTAATTTCGCTTCTACTTTTCTCTCTATTAATATAATCTATACATGCCGAGAAATTTAAATTTTTACCTATTATTACTCTTAAGTATTTTACTTCACTTACAATTCTTCCAGTAATTTATTCTGCAACTTTATTTTTACATTACCTTCGGTAGTTTTTTCCTATATAATTCCTCTCATCAGCATAATTGTAGATTAATTTTTTTCAACCATTTGTCTATTTTCACTATTCATTCAGTTAGATGGTTACTAACCTTTTTGCTTGAATCTTTGTATAAATCAGCGCATTACGAGCATGAGAAAAAGAGGGGGATAATATTTTGGTACACTTCTTGTCGCGGTGAAACTAATCACGAATTCATCGTGTCGTTTCGAGGAATGTCAGCGTGTTCGCTCGATAAAACTCGAAATCGATCGGCTTGCCGGTCGGTCGCGCGGTTGGCCGACTCTCGTTTCTTCCCACTGATAGCTGGAGACCTATTTGTGTTAATCCCGCCGGAATCCATTAGACGTACGATTAATTCCAATCTAAATTCAGTAGACGCGCCGCTGCTTTCTGTTTCGTAGAGCTTCAGATTGGTACGTGAGAGAAGGCGAATCGCTTGGATATTGCTGCTCCTCGCTGTGTTGTTCGCTCTATGCTGGCTGCCGTACAACGTGCTTAGATTGCTGGTCGATTTCGGTGCCATCGGTGAGTACGATCTTGTGCGATCTAAGAACGTCGGTGAGATCTAAAATACTTTGATCTAAAATACTTTGTGAAAACGCTAACTGAAAACTTCGCGCTAACGATTCCCGCTAGCTCGGATTCCTTCGATATCCATGTCGGTCATGCACGCTTAAAATATCGCGCTCAGTTTGAACGGTACGTATTCATTTAAGAAAGTACAAACATCTCAAGTATCTTGGAGATCTCCGTCCTTCGAGATGATATTTCGCAATTTAATCTATCTTAATTACAAGATGTTCTAAACTGCACTCAGACCGGGATAATAGCCTTAACCCGCGCAACATAATTTTGTTGAGAGAAAAAACATTTAAAAAGTAAGAAATATTTATTCGATGACTTTTAACAGCATATTTATTTGTACTGAGGAAGAAGCTTTTTAAAATGAGAAAATTTATATTTTTCTTAAATCTGTAGCTTCTCGCGAAGGCAATTGTCTATTCTATATAATAAAAGAATTTCAACTTAAATAAATATGTTATTAGTATCTATTGAATAAATATTTTGTATCTTTTAGATATTTTTTTCTCTCAATGTAGATCATTAATAATTTTCGAAGTGTTCATACTCATTTCTGGAGGTTAACGCGAAGCTATCAGAATAACAAATTATTGTTTTGACTCATTGTTCCCGCTCTACTTTGAATAATCAATAAATAATCAATCACTAACGCGTACGATTAGAAAATGCTAATAACACAGCGCATTGCATGTGCACGTTTATCCGTGCAATCATTCACAATCATTTATCACCGACTGTCATCTGCAATCGTTCGTTACTTTTTCTCTTGCATTCCCGCGCAATCTCCCGTTTGTCACTTTTATACAATTTTATGTTTTTAACGTAAGTTTAACGAGCGAACGCGTCCTTCACGAGCGTATCTCATCGATTGCGCGAGGCGTGTAAAGAGAATAGGAACGGAAGGAGATTGGATTTTCTGCGGACTAGTTAGCGGGAACTTTACCGAGTTAACGAGCCGATATAAGCGAATATGTCACTTTGGCAGGTGTCGAGTGGGTAGAGAAGATGTTCCCTTGATAAAACCGCCAAAATTACTCGAGCCGGCGGGGCTCTTAATACGATAGCGTCGATAATTTAATGACATCTATTGCTTAGATACGTGAAACCGAATAATCTGCTACACGCAAGTCGAAATTCGTAAAATGAACACGCGCAATAACGGCTTGGCGTGTCGATTTTCAAGAGGGAAACGTGCATCGTACGACTTGACATTAGCCACGTTCGGCGGAATGTTTATTTTACAACTGTTGGAAGTTTTCCATTCCGAGAGATTGGATTATTTCTCTATATCTAAAAGAATAATCCAATCTTAGCTCAGAAAATTTTCAACAATTGCAAAATACACATTCTGCAGAACGTGGCCATTCGTTTTACCCAGTGTAACATAGTTTACTTGCGTAAGAACGGAAATACAAAATTTGCGCCGGTAACGGATGATCTCGCGAATAATAATAATAATAATAACAATCTTGTTAATGGAAAAATTTTAGTGTTCGCATGATTGAGGAAAGATCGTAAATCGAGCTGAAATAAGAAAAAAAAATGTTATATAAACATAAGTCACAAGAACTTTATTAAAAAGTTATAGCAAAAATATGAAACGTATAAAACACATTTTTCACCTAAGTTTGCATTTCAAAGTGCTTTTCATGGCCCATGTTAGTAATAAATTTAACATCGATGTAATATTGAATTTATTAATCTTGAAATTTTGTGCCGATTTTATTTAATCTCTGCAGTAACGTCGATAATTCTTTATATTAGTTCGTCTCTTATTCTAATTCTTTATATTATCTTACGTCTCTTATTGTCTAAAAGACGTTCTTACGACATCTTAGGATGTCTTACTGTCCAAAAAAAGTAAAGAAGTCTATTAGACAATAAGACTTCCTAAGACGTAGTAAAGACGTCTTTTAGACAATAAAACATCCTATACCGTCGTAAAGACGTCTTTTAGAAAATAAGACGTCCCAAGACGTCGTAAAGACATCTTTTAAGAAAACGCTGAACGACAGGCAAAGTTTTGAGATCTGATGGATCAATTTAGAGATTATAGCATAAAATACATAGAAAAAGTAAGTAGTTAAATAAGTGAAATAAAGTAAATAAGTGAAAAATAGCAAAATAATTTTAAAATAATCATAATATTGCGCGTATGACGGGACATTTAAATGCAGAAAAGATATCATGAAAAAAGTCCGCAGAATTGGGGAATAAACTCGCCGTCGTGCCATCTCTGCTAATGTTAGAATTTTTACAGAATATTACACCGAATATCTACGTTGACTATGCAAACTACACGGATGATGAAGACATAGTTGTAAATTAGAATTGCATTTTAGAACTGGATCGCGCAAATGTGAAGTGGGACAGCGGTATCCTCGCGAGCTTTGAAGTTCGGAAGGATCTTATCGAGATCCGCTTACAGAGTTTAATCTAAATTCGAAAACGTCGTAAAATTCGTTTCTCCACTTTGTCCAGGTCGCCACGCCCTATTCCGAGCAACGGTGTAGTGAAGCGCGTGAAATGAGCTTCGAGTTTTATATTGTCGTAATTCGCTACCGCTTTAAGCTCCAGTGCAAACGTTCTTATGAAAACCGGCGCCGGTAAAAACTTCTCCCCGCTGTTATATTGTCGCTGCGCCGCAAATGAGCTTGATCTCCCGGTAAATGACGTCCTAACGTAGCTTCCTTCGTTTTCCGTCTAATATCGTGATCGGCGACTCTGCAACTCGAACAAGATTACCGCTGCTATTACCACTACTTCATCCTATCCGCTCGCGCAGTAATATTCTGCTCACAATCAGATCATTTTACACATCGCCGGCGAGAGAGGTATCGACGCGAGACGGATTAATTATTCCCGCATGATAATTGACTCGTAATATCGAGACGTGCGAGAAAAGAGCACAGCGATACGGCGCCGGGTTCCGGAAAGAGATGCAAGTGCGTATCGACCGGTCCTAGAATTAATGTTAAGCGAGAACAACGAAGCGAATGTCGCGCATTAACGTAGATTTCATCCTCCGCGCGAATATCTAAATACGGTAATCGCAATATTAACCGGTCATAATAAATTTCAGCCGCACTCTACGAAAGCTGCAATAACATGCTCGTTTGTGCTATCATGTGCAATAATTTCTCAATACACTCTCGATGATTAATAATTAAAGCGTTACAGTGTTAACAACGGCAACAATGCCAGCAATTTATTCCATATGCAAGAGCACATAGCCAGGATATTTATTTACGGTACTCTCGCAATAATGGTATTTGCTCGGCTATGAGAGAATATTGGTTGCATTTCGGTTTAATTTACATATATTTTGCTCGATCATTAATAAATAACTCAGTGATTAATAAATGACCAAATTTGCTGTTCGTTAACCCGAATATCAAGATGTCCATTTTCGAATAATCGAATGATTTGCTTCATTAACGTCATGCTTCTCATTTGAAATTACTTCCAGGATTTCTTTCAGGACTTCGAGCGAAAAGCACATTGAACTTTAATAAATCTTAACCAGGCAAAATCTCACTGGTCTTTCTAGTCGTTCACATCATGTCTGAACATGCGCATGTATTACAATTTAATTATTCAGCCGATCTGTCATCTTGACAGCTTGACGTATCATATTATATCGTATCGTATCATATTACATCCAAACACGGTGGGAACGATTAGAAAAGACTGTTGAACTTTAAATAATACAATAATGAAAGACGGTAAAAATCGATCGTCGAACGTTTCGTGCCGGATTGTTTCAACACGACTTTCAATTCACGCCATGTATCGAAAATAATACACTATGTGGAGCTTGATAAATATTTTATGATTATTTGGCTTATTGTTTTTTGTGAATTGAACAGTTAACTGTTAGGAAAGTTAAATGTCCGAAGTAAAACAAAATGCACAGTAACACAAAACAAATAATTTATTTCAAAATTAGAAAATTTAAGAATAACAAAATAGAACATATCAAAGAAACTCTAACGTGTCATTAAACAAATAAGATATAACTTTTTTGAACTTTTGCATTTATAATCGAATGGTACGATGTATTTTATTGAAGTAATCTAAACATAGAGGTACGATTTGTCGAGGCAATTCTCACAAAATGTTGTTACTCGTTTTGTTTTAAGTCTAGCATTTTTGCCACCCAAGTTTCTAACATTTTTTTCTAATATTTTCCTAACACTCAGGACAACGTCGTACCGTGTATCGAAATCGATCCACGGCTTTAAAAACGCTCCAAGCATGATAAAAAGTACGAACGAGTGATAAGATAAATTATTTTACTGTATTTGATTTCTTAATGACAAAATATCACTTGAAAACGATATACATAGCACGAAACGTGTTAAAAACACAAAAACGACCTTCAGATTTTCGAAGCTACCTCACCTGGAAGAAAATGTTATCGCCATCAGACGGCTGTCTCATGATCTTTCGGTTGGATAAAAGTTTCCCCTACTTTCACATTTCGAAGATATTCAAGGTGGTAAGAATTATTGCGTCACTCTGTGTACTGTACATGCAGATACAAACTATTTTCTCTGTCAACAACTTTCCAATGAGCTGTAGTCGGCGGATATTAAAGTATTATTCAAGCTTGACTCGCCCGTATCCTCCGAGGTTCGCTGCGTCGCTCAGAATGACCGCAAATTTGCGCGCGCATATATTAATAAATTCCTCCGTGACGCACTCTGCGTCATGAATTCTTCCTCGTTTCTCACACCCGTCTGTCGGCTGGCTAAGCGCTAAGCGTGTGTGTGTGCGCGCCTGTTCGTTTCCATATCGGAACGGCTCTTTAATTAATTTTAATGAATTCCCCGCACGCTCTTTCGAAAAGGAGCACGCCTCGGAGCAAAGAGAGATGATGGCCGTCTCTTCGATAATTGTTTGCAGAAGAAGGGAAACTGACTACGGTGCTGAGCTACTGCTTGTTCCTGGGACACGCGAACAGCGCCCTGAATCCCGTGGTGTACTGCTTCATGACGCGGAATTTCCGTCGCAGCGTCTCCGAGATCCTGTGCCGCGGCTCCCGTGGTCTGGCGCGTCGTAAACCCCACCGCAAAGTAAGTGCCAGTGTTACATTATACACAGAGCCGTCCGTAGAATACGCGTACGTGCGTTTACGAATACGGTGCGTTATACAATATGCATAGCAATGTCGCGTGAGCTGCACGTATAACTCGTATAACTCGGACGAAGCGTGTCTGCAACGGAGGCGGTCTGCAAAAAAAGCTCTCTCGGTGCTCGCTCGATGTCGACGCCGCGAGCCGCACCATTAGGACGAAGCTCGACGTCGCGGCGGGAACAACGGCATCAAGCCGCTCCCGCGGGAGTGCCGAGTATAGTTTGACGGTATAAAGCAACGCTCTCTTTTTCTCTCTCTCTCTCTCTCTCGTGCGTGTCGGCCGCTCGCAATATTGGCTGATCGCCTAATGCAAGCTAAAGCTAACGCAAGCCCGTCCCATAATGTCCGAGAAATAACGATCGCGGAGACGATCCGGATTGTTCGAGCACTCGCCGGACGAGCCGTTTCTAAAATAACTACTCCCGTAAGGTTTCCGCGCTTGTCTTTACATTTGTAGGTTTATTTGCACTTTCGAGTTCGCATCGATAGAAATTAGAAGTACCGAGCGGTCATTCCGAGCGGATTGTTTCAACTTTCCGAAATATCCTATTTCTCGCGTAAAAGATAGAATTCTAAAATTCGATGACTTTTCACATCGATTACTCCCCTTTATTCTGGTGAAACGTTTAGTTTTTCCATAATTTTCTTTATTCTCATAATAATCTATACACACTGCCTAAAAGTACCAAGCGGCCGAAAGTGATAAAATAACTGTTTGCCGTAAAATACTGTGATATTTCACCGAAAAGCTTTTTGGGTAGAAATGTAGATGCACTCAGCGCCGCAAATACCGTACCATTCAACAATGATTTTCATCTATCGAATGGTACGGCACCAGGTGTACATTGTACATTGTTTGCCAGGAAGAATAATAGAATGACAGTTCTGCAATTAACTAACGCGCAACCATTGACTAACGCACGATTCAGGTATTTCACGATATGCAAAGTTCGTACGTTGCTGTCGATGTTTAATTGACCTGCGTACACCTGGTTGATTGTGACACGGTTGCTTTCAATCTGATTCTTTTTGTCGAAAAAATATATCCATTTATATTACTATTCAATATTTTTAAATAAAATGTTGAAATATCAATAGTAGAAGGCAAATATTTTTACTCGATTTGATTTCCGAGTTATCGCCACGCCCTTCATGAATTTATTTTCGACTATTCGTGAATATTTTAGTTTTTCGTGAATAGTTCGCTTTTTCAGATTGAAAACGATCTGAATAGTTCCAGGTTTTTCTTAAATTGGAAATATATTCTTCCTCATTATTTAATTAACCCTCATTTCTTAACGTACGTTAAAATGTATGCGTTAAAGTTTAGTGAAATATGAAGTATTTCTATTTGAGGTCTATTGCGGCAAAAATGGTCACTTTGCTCCTTTAAGTAAGAAACGTTGGTACTTCTAGTGTTAAAGGAAGAACGAAAAACATATAAGTGAGGCGTGAACGATTTTTCTTCTTTCGTATTCATTTTTCACATTCAGCTGAAACAAGCAACAATAGGAAGTCGGCTCGTGTTTCGATATTACCCGGTGAATAATAGATCTGCGACGCTAACAGGTGAAGCCGCAATTATCGCCGCACGGTGAGCACCATTAGTCGCAATTATCAGTCGTCGTCAGAGCGAAATTCACGTGCCGAACGGATTATTCACGATCGTGTACATCTTCGCATCATCTACGCGTTATCACTGACCCAAAGACGACCGAGATCTCCTACCGTCCTTTCCGCCCTTTCATCGGAATCCACTTGACCGTTTCCTCTGTCGTTGGTCTACAATATGCTCTTTGCGTCTTGTTCCTTGCTTTCCATCCTTCTTCTATAAGAACTTTTATTTACGGAAAAACGATAGAGAGCAAGAAACAAGATAAACAAAGAGCACATTGTAGACCAAGCTTTAAAGAGGCCGGACGAAATGTTTCCTATATTATCCAACTTGCGTATGGTTTACCGTGTGTTCGAGCAGCAACGAGCGAGTTTTCGTATTCAGCTCGAGGCTACGCTCGATGATACGCCTTCCTTTTAGCCTGCGATTTAATTAAATTCTTGATTTAATTAATTCGATCAGATCCCCCGACCGTTCGTCGATTCCGCGCGATTGGCGGTGAGATTTTTTTTTTCTCTCTTCTCTCACTTTTTACGGAACTTTTACTTTCCTAGCTGCGCGGCGAAACTCCGGCGGGGATCTCCCTCCTGTCTCTCGACTTCTTCCGTCACGGTGCCGAATTAATTATACAATCGTCGACACTATTTAGGAAGAAATGGAGAAAGAGAGAGAGAGAAAAGAGAGCAATTAATTAACACTGAAGGTACAAAAGCGATAAAGAAAGCGCGTGCGCGCTTGCGAACCTGTTGGTCGGAACTTCGCGAGCCGAAGTGTAAACGGCGGCACGAATTATACCGGCAATATTACATTCCGCTCCCTGCCCGCGCGGTCGCGTGATAATTTATAACAATGAGCCAAGTTCTGCCGCCTGCCGTCGCTAATGATTCGCATTCAGCGCGCCGCAATTAAGCGGGAATGAGGACGGATATGAAACACCGAGATCAGCGGATGTTTCACGCCGGTAATTGTTCAACCAAGTATAACGAATTCCGCGAACTATCATCGCAATCGCGTTGTCGTCGTCGTCTCGTGAAGCTCTTCACTCTGAATACGGTAATAAGCACGTTCTCGTCGGCATTAAATCCACGATCACCGTGCGGCACGCTTCCCCGTAACGTTACACCGTTGCGACGCGGTTTATTGCGGAACACCCGATAAACTTGAATTTGTCCGTCAGATACGTCATCGGTATCGCCGCTAGCGTTTCAATATTTGTTCGGATCTGACACTAACCGGTTATCACTCGATTATTCGGTTAGCGCGCGGACAAATGCGACACGTTTCAAATTCGGATTGTCAGGGGAGAGATCCGGCTCTTTCCAAGAAACAGAGTTGAAGCATCAAATTCGGACCCGGTTTAAGCTCGCGGCGAGATCGGCCGATTTTCGCAGCAATTTAGATCGTTCTTGAGAACATAACGATCCACCGAGTCAATATTATACGAAACAAACAATAAAGGCTCATTTGCAGCTGTAGTCAATGTAAATATGTGCAAGTCCTTTGTGTTGTCAATATATAGAGGAGAAGGCAGTATTATGGCCCTTGTAGATATTACCCCTTAATACCCGCGCTATTAGATGCAGAATTCTAGTGATTACTTATGGAATCGTTTGTTTAACAGCTCGCCGCTTTACTCAATCCGAATTCACATTCAAATCCGAATCCAGGTCGGATCTAAATCCAATCTAGATCCAAATCTCTTCTTATGATTTGAACTTGGATCTCCGGGATGTTTCAGATTATTCGGATTATCCGAATAATGCAGTTTTGAATTTTCGAAACCGATCTCGGACATCCGATTAGTCAGATGTCCGAATACTCGAGAGACTTCATACCGCGGAAACTATTTCTCAGCCGTTGTGTCGAATGAAATGAGAAGAACTTCTCGCGAGTAACTTCTAATTGATTTCAGCGCAGCATCCCCTTTATCTTAGTGGGAATGAATAACGACTGGTGGATCGTTCGCACGCGTTGTTCCAGTAAATGCCTGACCCGGCCGGAGTTTCTTCATAGTCCGACTTCTTTTATTCATTCGGTAAACATCCTCCTCTAAGCCTCGAAGCTCAGCCGAAAGCGTGCAATTTTCGACGAGTAATGCATAGTTATCCGCTGTTTTAATATAGTTGCGGCGATGATGCAGCCGGTCCTTGTAAACCCTGATCGTTATTCGAGGAAATATGTTCTCGAAATTTTCCCGTTCTCGATTTCCCTGATAAATTTCCATCGCAGAGGTACTCCCGGTAATCAAAAATTCAATAACAGCGCGCAGCATGGATCGGAATACCCCTGCATTTCTCTCTCCCCTTCTTTTGAGAGATTCTGTGCTGTACACGAGGGTTTACAGTGAAACGAATATGAAAAAATTGCCTTTTTTTAGCAGAAACCCTTTTGCGTTTATTTATTATGACGGCGCGCAAATTTGTGTCTACTTTGCCGGTCGTAAGAAAATAAAGTGGATTTTTATCGAAAATACCTTGTGCCTTCACGATAACTTCAAGTCTTCCGACTTGTTCGCGCGACTTTATTCCGCCGGTCTGTCTCAGGAAAAGTTCCATGAAGAGACATTTTCTCCGAACGGTAGATAAACATAAAAAGTTTATGAACGTCGCGTCGTCGGAGGGGGGTCGATAATGCGAAGTAATCGGCGCTCACCGGGCGAATAGGCACTCAAACATCTCGAGGATACGACGTAGAACGTAGGACATGATCGATCTGTGCTCGATGTGTCATATATCTTGATTTACATTGAGTCTGTTAATAAGAACGCAGACGATGGTTGGAGCGGAGATATAAAATCGTGATGACAGAGGACAGAAGATAAAGATCGCGTGTTATATTTAATCCTTCGATTATCGGGGATTCCCGAACAGATCGGTTACGATGAATGAAACGGATATTCGTTCACCTTACCTATTTTTCACAGAAAACTGTCACTACCATCGCACTCTTACTCAATGTGTTAATACACAGGCGGACAGCGTATTCTGCTGGAAAATATATTTCTTAGTGCGAAAATTTATTTCACGCGTGAGACTGCGAACGCGGTTTTCACTTATCGCGTGTAGGACTGTAACCATTGTTTAATACGGGAAAATACTGAAGTCGACAAGTGGTGTTCGAGATGCGATTCGGTCGTGCGTGGAAAATTCTCATCATTGCGAGCAAATTAGGAGGCAAGCGTAATAAAATGCAAAATACAATCAAGTATAAGTGTGTATATGTCAAATTTCCACACAGTTTCTGCAGTGCAATTTAATAGCGGCTGCTGATGAAAATTCGATAGAACCGATATTGTGCTTAAATTATCAGCTTCGGCCGGGTTA